AGAGAGAGAGAGAGAGAGAAATTTTTTTTAATATTTATTTTTTAGTTCTGGCTTTTCTAGGTAGACCCAGTCTATGATGCAGATAAGGAGAAATGGGAGGGTGGGAGACTGGGGACTGGCTGTGGGTATAAGATTTGTTTTGTTTTTTGGGTTTTTTTTGCTTGTTTGTGTGTATGTGTGTGTGTTGCAGTGCTGGGGATTGAACCCAGGACCTTATGCATGCTAGGCAAGCATTCTATTGTACAGCCACATTCCCAGTCTCTATCGGGTATATTTTTTGAGGGGAGGCATTGAGAATATTTTGATAATGGTTGGGTGACATTGTGACTATATTATAACTGAGTTGTATGCTTTAAAATGATGAATTTTGCATTATGTTTATTCTCATTTAAAAGCAAAAAAGTGATAGAAGCAGTTTTCTGGTTCATTTCTAACTCTTCAGATAAGTCTGAGTCTCACTGACTGAACTTTATTTCTGCTTTAAAATTTATTTGAAAGGAAACTATAAATGGAAAGCACCATTGAGTCAGTCTGTCTGTCTGTCTCTCTCTCTCTTCCTCCCCCACCCCCCTTTCTCTCTCTGGTTCTGGAGATTGAACCCAGAGCCACTCACCACTGAACTTCACTACCAGCCCTTTTCATTTGGAGACAGGTTCTCCCTAAATTGCCCAAGCTGTCCTTGAACTTGCAATCCTCCTGCCTCACCCTACTGAGTCACCTATAGGTGAACACTACCATGTGTGACTGAGTCTTAAAAATAAATGTCTCACTCATATTTATTTTTCGTTGCCCTGTTTAAAAATCAGTAAGGTTGGGCTGGGGTGTGGCTCATTGTTAATTTGCCTAGTATATGAGGTCCTGGGTTCCATCTCCATCTCCAGTATCAGAAAAATAAATAAATAGATAGATAGATAAAATAAGAAAGATTGCCTTGGAGACACCTAACATTTTTAATTGTAGTTTTTCTCTTGATGTTAGGAGACGTTGGTCAGGTACAATGAATATGGAGATGTTAGGATGCAGTATGATAATCATTCTCATGTTTCTTGTGGTTCAAGATAAACTAATACAGTGGTGGAAACCAAAAAAAAAAAAAAAAAATTAATAAACTATTAGTAGATAGGTAAAAAGCCGAGCCAGAATTCAATGCAGAACTCTTGGATACAGTTATCAGCCAGAGTGGTTTTCTCTGTTTAGGAAGGAATCAAGGGCTGGGGATGTGGCTCAGTGGTACAATTGCCTTAGCATCTGCAAGTCCCTGGGTTCAACCCTCCATACCTCAGAATCAATCAATTAAGTAACTAAGTAAACAAGACGGTAATCCCAGCAATTGACACTCTCAAAGCAGGTTCTCTGTTGGGTCACTTATTCCACGGCCCCTGCTATGCATGAGGCACAGTGTCCTGTCACTTCAACCTCATACCAGACAGGCTCCAATTCCACCCACAGTGCACAGACTAGGAAACAGACACTGGGAGACCAGGGCTTGGCCAAAAAAAACGAAATGAACTGGAAATGAACCGGCACAGGAATTTTTTTTTTTTCTTTTAACATTTTTCGCTTCACCATCACCCATCCATTCCCCTGAGACAGGACAGAAGAAGAACAAGAAACAGGTAGAAAACAGACGTCAAGGAAGGACAAGTGGCGCCCCTGACCAGCTGGACCAAAGTCACCTGTGTGAATCTGGGGTGACGCAGAATATCACACAGACACAGAATACCTTTTGTAAGCTTCAGGAT